TATATATATATATATATATATATATATATATATATATATATATATATATATATATGAATCAAAGAGCTGTAGGGAAAAAACTGGAACTCCTACAGATATGGCTACCGGCGACCCACGTGACCTGAAAAGGAAGAAGTGGGTGATGATGAGGATGGATGGATGGATGGATGGATGGATGGATGGAAAGTTTTTCTGTCTCTGCAAGCAGCATCAACTTCAGTCAGGCACAAACATAAATTTGCATTCAATACAGGAGGTTTTTTTTTTACCCTCCAAAAACACTTGTCTACTAGAATGAGCCAGGTTCAGTTCTTGGTAAATCCGACAACCATTTGTGCTCATTTGAACAGCTTTGTACGCCACACCGTGCATAACTGGTGTCCACATATTTTATGAATGTTGGACTGAATGACTTGACTATGAGGGCCTCCAAATTTCCCAGATACCAATCTGAGGAGGAGTGTGTCCGAAGCAAGTCCAGTCCATGAGGCCCAAAGAATCTTTTGCGATCAGGCACTCCAGGACACCCTTAGATATTTTCTGTGCAGTTTCTAACTGTTCAAAGCGGTTTTCGGTGATGGTGTGTGTAACACTTGTGGTGGCTGTGTCTCGGTGGCGAGTGATCATTCTGTCTAAAGATGGGTGATGTGTGCTGATGTGCCTCAGGCAATGCACCTGATGTGCCCAGATGTGTCTTTGTGCCAATAAAACCAGATTAGACTCTAAAGTTTCTGTTTTAAAAGTGACACCCTACATTTTTAGAAGTTTCAATGTTTTTTTTCTTAAGCAATGATCATTTGTGTCCTTTAACTTGTCTTCTCCCACGCTGACCAATCAGCTTCTTTCATCTCTTTGACACAGGCCATAGACAGAGAGCGGCCAGAGAAGTACAGAAAGCTCCAGGAGGCGACGCGCACGGCGCAGACCCTTGTCGAGCAAGGTACACGCGCACTCATTCACAGGCATGCACACCCCGTCTGTCCCCATGGCAACGCCTCCACCTGTCCCACCCTCGCTGCTCGTCTCCATAGAAACACCGATAGAGAGACACGGGAAGAGAAAGGGACAGAGATGTATCTTTGTGTGCATTGTCACCTCTGTCCTTGTGTAATTCTTGGGATTCCTGAAAGCAGACGAGCTAGATTTTTTCATTTCAATTCTTTTTTTTACTGTATCCGTCAGTTGAACAAAACATAAAAAACACTGTTGAACTCCAAAGTCAGGACTATGGGGATGTTTCCACAGAGAAATTATACGTTACATGACACGTACTGTGAGTAATAAGATCATTTGTGATGCTATTTTGACCAAATTAGTTAGAAATCTGTTATATTTCAACACAGAATAGAGAATTGATCTTGGCAGAAAACTTTGTGATGAAATTTATAATAAGCTTGTACTTCTGAAAGACATGCCAGCCACTAGGGAGCACAAGCCAGTGTATCTCTTGTGCCAGTCCCAAGCCAGGGTAAATGGTGAGGGTTGTGTCAGGAAGGGCATCTGACGTAAAACACTTTTGCCAAAACCATAATGCGAGTTCATCAAAGCAAAACCATACCGGATCGGTCGAGGCCCAGGTTAACAATGATCGCACTGGTGCTGTTGACAAACAGGGTGCTGGTGGAAATTGTGCTACTGTTAGTCGAAGACCACGACGGGGGAAATTTGTACCAGCTATGTTGTATGGTCTGGAGACAGTGGCATTGACAAAAAGACAGGAGAAAGAACTGGAAGTAGCGGAAATGAAGATGTTGAGGTTCTCCTTAGGCATAACAAGAATGGATAAGGTTAGGAATGAGATCATATGAGGTACAGCACAGGTTTAACAGCTGGGAGATAAAGTTAGAGAGACCAGACTGAGATGGTTTGGACATGTCCAGAGGAGGGACAGTGGGTATACTGGTTGATGCGTGTTGGAAATGCAGCTGCCAGAGGAAAAAGACAGAGGAGATCATGTATATGGATGTAGTTAGAGAGAACATGGAGGTAGTTGGCGTGACGAGAGAGGATGCAGAGGACAGTGAGACGGAGGAGGACGACTCGCTGTGGCAACCTCTAAAAATGGAAAAGCCAAATGAAGACTTCTGAGAGATATTACCATCAGATTCATATCTCTCTCTTGTTTTAGGTTCACCACTTTTGCTGTTTGTGAAGTAACATGTAGGGAATAGTTATTTGGAAAATGCTTAGTTCTTTTAAAATGTATAGTTTTATTTCTCTTAAACTGTGTTTTATTTGGCCAAGAAAAGAATGGTGCCAACGGGGGGTTCCCATCAAAGCTGGTCCAGTGTTCAGCCATCTTCAACATAAATGTACAACTTGCCCAATTTGTCTTTGTCACATCGTTTTAAAAAACTTTTTCGTTAGATCCTGCAGTGGAAATCCATATTTTTTTACTCATCTGTGTTGCTACTTTACAGTTCTTGGCAAAAGGAAAACTGCATAGTTTTATTGTCCTCTTTCTGTGTAAAGGGATAAATACAAACTTTGTAACCTACAGTTTGTAGAAAAACTTTCTTGATCAAATATTTAATAAAAAAGAGATGATGTGGCTTAATACATGGTTTCCTTGCACTCTTGGGCATATAGGCTTATAGGACAATGTTACTTGTCATATGACACAATGTATAGACCTTGTAGGTGCTTTCTATGAAAAAATACTGTAAATTTGCAAAAAAATATGTGTCAAGAAAATTCCTGAAGCACTCACCTCAGCTGTGACACGTATGTTACTGTCAACTTCTAGGCTCATGATGTTTAACAATGATTCAGTGCTTCCATAAATTTGTAGGCTTTACGTTCTTGAAAAGACGAGCGCTTTACTTGGTTATAAGATAATTTAAAATGTCTATGTAGGTCAGTGCAGGTAGGTATTCCCAGTCAGTGTACATTTCTTTTCTTTCAAACACAATAGGTGTTCTTTCCTACAATCAAGAGAGACTTCTTCGTATATCTCCCCTTTTTTGTGTGTATCTAGCTTGTCTTTCTAGATCCACAGTCATTAGCTCTATTCGTTGTCACACTTGGTGAACTTTGCAAGACAAAGTAATCAATGATAATTGTACTGCAATTTATAATGCGTAAGTAGACATCAGTGGCTGCCGAGTGAACCAGATAAAATGGTGAAATGTCCACACAAGTGGGTTGATAGAATCATGTATAGTGAAGACCAAACCAGTTTGAGGATTACATTCACTTTCATGAAAAAATAAGTAAATAAAATTGTGTTTTTGTTACAGATTGACAATAACAAAGTGCCTTAAGATACATTTTCATATTGGCTCTGTGCTAAGCTGTCTTTGTAGACCAACGTCAATTTATCTCTTGAGTTTGATCTCTCTTTTTTGTTTCTGTCCCTAACCACCCCCTTCCAGAGGGCAGTCGTGCTGATGACATTGCTCAGGCAGCAGATCAGCTGAACCAGCGCTGGGTGGGTTTCTGCACTCTGTTGGCAGAAAGGCTGGCATGGTTGGCTTACCAGACAAAGGTATACACTTGCATGAACACAGACAAATTTGAAACAACCATCCATCTATACATACACACATTCATACATACATTGTTTTATTTGTGGAAAGGTAGCATAGGTAGTTACAAGTTCAACCAAGGAACATAGACATTTCTATTCAAAGGAACATTCTCTAGCTCCGACTGAGATATCCCAAAGTGTTTCCGGATAGAATTTATATATAACCTCTCCAGGAACTCTTCTCTATGGAACATGCTTAGATAATCTCTGGAGGGCAGCATCCCGGTGGCATCCTAATCAATTGAATGAACATCCTCTGCTGTCTCTTTTTGATGCAGGGATGCAGCGGATCAACCCTAAACTTTTCCCAGTTGACAGAGCTCCTTGTTGTATTATTAAGGCTGAGCTTATCCCTTTTATGGAGGAAGCTCATTTCAGCGGCTTGCATCTAGAATCTCATTATTTTACTCTTGATACATATCTTGTGCACATAGGTGAATGTTGGAACCAGTAAACTGATAGCTTTGCCTTTAGCATCAGCTCCTTCTGAGACCATTGATCAGTCCTGGTCAAGTCCCATCTTACACATGAACAAGACTCCCAAACACTTGAACTTCTCCACTTGAATCAAAGACTCAACCCCTGCCCAGAAGAAGCATTGGGATTCAAATTCAATTCAATTCAAAAATACTTTATTAATCCCAAAGGGAAATTATTTGTTGTTGTAACTCGTTATCCTTGTTTCATTAAGAGATGTTATAGATACTGATGGCTGTAGGCAGGAAGAATCTCTTGTAAAGGTCCATCCCACAGTGGATCCTCAGAAACTGACTGCAGATTCTGTCCATTACCAACACAAACAGATCCAGAAACAAGGGGCTGCCCTGGCGGAGTCCAACCCACACTAGGAATGAGCTTGACTTTATGCTGAGAATGTGTACACAGTTGCTACTTTGGTTATATAAGGACCTTATACCAAGCAATTCAGACACTGGGTCAAAAAAACTTTTATGTGTTCATAAATGCAACAAAATGTTCAACCCAGATTGTCAAAAAAAGGACAAGGTCAAGTTCAAGTATCTTTATTATCCCCGAGGGGTAATTAGTTTCACAGTCAGTAGGTATAAAACATCCATACTACACAAGATATTAAAAAATACACAAAAAAGGAGGAACAAAAAAATGATCACAAAACACACAGAGCACACGCCCTACTGCTGCTTGTTGCAATTATCAGCGCCATTTTTTCCAGCCAGCGCCATTTTTTCCAACTTTTCAATGGAGATCATATAACAAACTTTCTGGCCTATAGTATAAAAATAATCTCCAGTTAGCCTGACAGAAACTAGAAACATTTGGCAGTGTTTGTGTATTTGTAGAAAATGTGGCAAGTGAAATAAATTTGATTTATGCTTCGTTTGTTTTTGTGTGCGTCAGGTGTTGGCCTTCTACAGCTTGTACGAGCAGTGCGAGCAGGCGGTGGACAGCAGTGAGAACTGGCTCAAAGTTCAGGCACCTCCAGCATCTGAGCCCGAACCTCTCAAAGTACAGCTGGATCGATGTCGGGTGAGTGAAATTCAAAACATTCAAACTTTGAGTAAAGTACAAATCTCATTTGATGCTACTCAGCTCAGCAATGTTCAGGGCCATAGTCACGGGAGCAGTGTTTTGTGAATACGCATTTTATTTAAATTTTGTTTTAGCAACGCATCCTTGCATCTACAGAGAAATTACCTTTTAGGTGTTTGTAGAACTTTGGCTTCTGTGTTTACAGTTTGTACCTAATATTCAAACTGTGCCTTGTTTCCTGTTTTTGCTGTGTTTCCATGGCAGCTGTGCAGTGCCACATACAGGCCTGGTATAGCTACTGCAGAGTTTTTGGTCACTTTGAGTGTTTCTATGTAGAAAAAGGAGGACGTCTCAGATTTCAGATTTCAAAAACCTATAATGCAGCTTTATGCCTGATACCCAGTCATTTTCATAACTATCAGGAATTTCGTACATGTGACTGTAGTGGTCCATCTTTACGCCGGAGGTTTAGGGCCACGCTAAAAAATAAATACATTGCCACGCTAAGAAAAAAAATTAAAAGCCATAAAGTTATGAGAATAAAGTTGTAGTATTACGAGAATAAAGTTGAATAAACTCTTAATATTACGAGAATAAAGTCGTACGAGACTTTTTTTTTACAGTTGTCTTAAAAAAATTTTTTCCCACATCGGATCCACAACGCGACTTGTCAGTCAATCCACTAGGCACGTCAGCAAATGACCAATCTGAAACTAAATGAGTCGTAATATTATCCGAACTCCTACACGATAAAGCAGTTTACCGCAATGTAACTGGTAAAATGAAGAATGTTTGTTAACTTTATTTTTATTGGTGCTCTTACTCATAACATGTTCCAATACTGCCACCTACTGTTGTGTTTCTGTATGTTGTTTTTGGATGTTTTTGTATACGTGACGTCATTACGTCATGACTTTCGTTTTTGATTCTGTTTGAAAACGGTAGTCAGTGAGCAAAACTGTGTGCGTGCAGCGTTGTTAGAGGTCTTCAATAAATACTGTAATTTTCGGACTATAAGCCGCTACATTTTTCACACGTTTTGAACACCGCGGCTTATACAATGCTGCAGCTAATTTACTGATTTTTTATTTATTTATTTTTTTGATGGGCTTCATGCCACCAAAACATTTTGCTTCGTCACACCCAGGCACTTATAATAATAATAATAATAATAATAATAATGTCATCACAATGTCAGCACTGTATGTTTCCATACAATGGCGAAATTAGTCTCTGCATTTAACCCATCCACCACCAGGTGGTGCAGTGGGCAGCTATTGAAAGCGCCCGGGGGGCATTTTGGGGGTGAGGCGTGCTGCCCAGAGACGCCACGTGATGTGCAGTGACTGGGGATCGAACCTGGGACTTTGGGGTCCCAAGCCGGCTGCCCTGCCTCTACACCATCTCGGCCCCCACATAGCTGCCCAATGCACGTCTGTCTTGGGGGGGGTAGCGATCAATGACTTCCTGGAAGACTTATGTTTTTTTTTTTATCAGCCGTGTTACAATCACTGTTCAGAAAAAAAACATTTACTGTATTTGTGCGTGTTACTGGTACACATTTAATTAAAAGTAAAAAATATATATATTTCTGTGTAAATATCTCATTTTACAACGTGAGCACCCGCGGCTTATAGAGAAGTTTGGCCTATTTATGTCAAATTTAAATTTTCTTTTTAAATTTAGCGGGCGCGGCATATATTCGGGTGCACTCAATAGTCCAGAAATTACAGTATGCTAGATGGAGGCTAAAGAGACCCAGCGACTCACTTATAGGAGCATTTAGCTTCGGATTGATCATTGGCTGACACGCCTACTGGATTGATTGACAGGTCGCGTCTTGGATCCGACTCGTGGAAAAAAAATAAACGAGCTATAAAACAACAAAAAAAGTTTTGTACGACTTTATTCTCGTAATACTATGATTTTATTCTCATAGTTTTATGGTTTTTAATTATTTTTTTCTCAGCGTAGCCCTAAAGCTCTGTCGTACATCTTTGAGTCAGACTAACAAAGACCCTAACGAACCCCTATTTTGAGTGATAGGGCAATCTGCATACGTACGCATCTTACCTCAGCTTTATAACTCGAACCCCACGCTCTCTGTTCTTTGAACTGAGAAAGCTCCTCAGATGAAAAATGAAACATCTTCTGCTACTAAATAAAGTCTTGTTGTTTTTTGTCTTGTACCTTTTTGAATTTACCATGTCCTGGATGTTTGAGAATCTTCACCAGCGTATCTAGATAAAGACAATTTGAGAAATGGTGCAGTGTTAACAAAGGCTTTTTAGATATTAAAAATGTATGGATGGTTTTGGAAAAACCGCGCGAACAATGTCTAGATAGCAACCATTACCTATACTCTTGTGTTATATTGTTGCGTAAAGTCATGTTTTATGTTCTTTCTAGTCTCTTAATTAGTTTTTCTTTAGAGTATTTATTTATTTTATGTGTTTACCTTTTCCATGCATCTCATTACAGAACTGTTCTGTAAGTACTTTTCTGGTATTTGATCATTTAAATGTCTACACTTATTTTCCATTTTACACCCAATACTGGACAAACCTTTTGTGGAATTTGTAGATAAAATAAAAATGTGACTAGTGTGGTAACTGCAATTGTATTAAAAGGTTTTTTTTTTTTTACAAAAGTCTTCCACATAGAATAAAAGTGCAAAATATGATTGACCTTTTCATTGCTTCAACAAATACAGGTAGATATTTTTATTTAAATAACACACGGTAGGCAGGTTGCAGCTCCCGCTTTAGTACTTCTTGCGATTAAAGAGCCAACTCCTTTCTGACCTCTAAGTCAGTCTTGGGCACATTGTAAACATTATGGTCATTTAGCTAACTGGTAATGGTGCTAATGAAGCAGTTGTGACCTCATTTTCAAACCACTTGGCTACTTAAACAGCAGGAGTGAGGGAGTTGTGACTGGAACGTTGTCTCCTATGAACTGCTCGCTGCAACATAAGAAAAATCACTAGTTCTGCATACAGTAGTTATACTTACATAAACGTGGAATTTTCAAAAATGTGATCAAACTAACTCGTGTAATTTGATACACATGCAAGCTTCTCAAGAGTCTGTTGTCATTGCATAGTTCTGCTCTTCACGATGCTATACAGTTTATTTATTTTTTTATTATGGAACTAGACAGTTGTACATCATCCAACAAAATGCAACAAATTTGCTTTCTTACATAGATATGAACAGATGTTATATATTATGGTAATTTGACAGATTGAATTTATTTAGTAACAGTTATGCACATACATGAATACTCAGTACATACTGTATATTAAAAATACTTTTTTCTCAAGAAAGTGAAATCACTTATTTCCATTGTAGTCCAGTAATAAAATAGTTTTCTTGCCGAGGGAACCTTTGTTAGCAGCACGGTGGTATGTGGTTTTTTCTGTTCATCATCAGGTTTGCACACAGCTCAGAAAGAAGTTTGACCCACTCCTCCCCACATTAATTGATGTGTGCGTGCGTGCGTGCGTGCGTGCGTGCGTGCGTGCGTGTGTTGGTTGGTTAATTGATGTGTGTTGGTTGGCTGGTTGGTTGGTTGGTTGGTTGGTTAATTGATGTGTGGGATGGTTGGTTAATTGATGTTTGTGTGTTTTGGTTGGTCAATTGATGTGTGTGTGTGTTTTGGTTAGTTGGTTGGTTAATTGATGTGTGTGTGTGGGTTGGTTGGTTAATTGATGTGTGTGTGTGTGTGTGTTGGTTTGATGGTTAATTGATGTGTGTGTTGGTTGGTTAATTGATGTGTGTGTGTGTGTGTTGGTTGGTTAATTGATGTGTATGTGTTAGTTGGTTGGTTAATTGA